AGATGGTTCTACAAAGCCCAAGACAACTAAGTTCCAGGGAACTGACAAGAAACCGAAGAATGGCAGCAAGAAAGATGAGAAAGAGGAGGACGAGGATGAGAAGAAGATGGCAAAGGTAACCAAGAAGAGTACCAAGGTTGGTGCACAGGGCAGCAAGAAGAACAATGAAGATGAGGATGGTGAGGATGAAGCGAAGGCCCAAAAGAAAAGGGCAAAGAAGCGGGACGAAGACGAGGATGAGACAGAGAAACCAAAGAGCAGCAAGATCAGAAAGACTGAGAAGAACTCAGCTGCAAAGACCAAGCAGAAGAACAATAAGAAGACCAAAGAGGATGATTCTGATGAAGAGGCTGAGGAGGAGGAAGAGATGCAGAAGGTTGCAAAGAAAGGCAAGAAGAGGGCCAAGAACAGGGCCAGCGCCAAGACAGGTCGAAAGGACAAGTCAGAAAAAGGTGAGGATGAATCTGAGGATGACAGTGGCAGTGAGCAAGAGGATGAGGACAGCAATGAAGAAGACGAGACCAAGCCAAGGAAGCGGAGAAATTCTGGAAAGCCATCCAAGGCTGATCAAAACAAATCAAAACATATTGAAACCTTCCAACCTATCCCAACTAGTAGTTGGGTGGGGGATATCACAAATTAAAGTGTCTCTTTGAAAACCTGTCGGCTTGAAAAAACTCAGAGTCTGTAGTCAAGTTGTTTGAATGTGGCCATCCAACCTGACAGGGCGACCTGATGAGAGATGACTACCACAAGTTCATCAAAGACACGATGGCCGCCCTGCGAGAGGAAAACCCTGAACAGAGTGGCAGGGAGATTCTGCAGTCAGCCAGGATGAAGCCTGGGCCTCAAACATAGTTGTTTTTTGCAAATTAAGCCCACTATCATTTGAGCTAGTCTTCAATCAAACCCATGACTCCATGACACAAATCCCACGAAGCCCTGACCACCGTTGATCCCAGGTGGAAGGTCTCCGAGATCCGAGCTAACAGCATCCGGAACATGACGCCCACGCAGCGGAGCCGAAGACGCCTCCAGAGTGCGTGAGTAAGTTCTTTTGGAGTGGTTCAGGGGTCTGCAACAGCACCATGCTGGAAGTTTGGTCATGTTTTGAATACATAACCCGAAAGTCAAAATGAACGGTCACGGAAGAGTTTTGAATACCGTTGGCAAAGATTCTAGTCGGCTGGTGCTTGTGCAATTCTGGGGCTAGCTGGCTGAGCCTGACAGTTGCGTAGCCTCATGGTGTGACCCGCAGCTGCAGAACAGCCCTCAATCTTGTTGCTGGACAGTGAGAACACTGTCTCATAGATATGGACATGACTATGGACATGAACTCCGGGAAAAGTTCGTGTGATGTGCTCAGGTTTTTCTTGTTCATCTCACTCCAAACTCCGAAGAGTCGTTGAACATGTCAAAACCATGTAAGTGCATGTCAAAACCCGACGAGTACACACATGTGCAGGTGAATATGGCTATGTGAAGACCTGTGCTTGGACAAATGATTTGGACCATGTGATTTTAGAGATGCCAAACGAGAGCGGGAAAGGAACGACAGACTCTGACATGTCTTCACTTCGATCACTCCTCCATGAGATGGAAGAAGAAGATGTTGTGGATTGCACTCTGAATGGCCATGAGTGTGCTCGTGCTCCTGCCTGCGGTGACACCGCATCGATGCCTGAAAGCTTGGTCCTCAGTTCAGGTTCAGTGCTGACAACCTCTTCTCTGGTACCTCCCACTTATGTGAAAACATCACTTAGCTGGAACTCGAACTTGTTGCCTAGCTTCATTGCCAGGTGCAGATTACTTTGTCATCAAGCCAAAGCCTACACCGATCTACTTCCAATGGACGCCCCCCAGCCAGACAAGCTCATGCAAATATGCATCGGTTGCAAATTTGTTTACGGAGAAGGTGCCTGAGCATATTTCCATGAAATGAAAGCAAAACCACATGGTAACATCAAGGTGAAGCATGTCCCATACTTGTAGCTGCGCTAGGCTCTGGAGGCTTCACGAATGCTTTATCCTGTATGGCGCATAGCCTACCTCAAGCAAGCGAATGTGCCTTTGATGCAATGTCCAGTCATGTCATGTCATTCTCCTTTGCCAACCCAATGGCCCCATGATTTGAGGAGCTCATGCCGAGATGCTTGGTAGAAAGAAAACAAATCGAATCATTTCCTGATCAAATGAAGCACGTGTTACAGTCACGCGTGTTCTGTGTGCTTGATGTGCATTTGGCCTTTCAATCTCAACAGCCCTAACCTGACCAAGGAAAACCATTATATTTCTTGAGAGGGTCAAACGAGTTGGCTATGGTCGCTGATCAAGCTATCCGCTTGATTTGAAGGGTTTTGGATGATGCTGGTGTCCATCAGGCGCTCTGAAGGTTTATGTTCAGAACGTTCATGTAACTTTAGTTGCTTTATGGAATCTGTAGCTGAGCAACAAACACTTGTTTTTACTTTGTGTCAGCCTGGTGCACCGAAAAGAGCTACACTGTAGGGAGGGAAGGCAAGCCCCTTCTCACGAGCTGCGCACAGCTTAGGGCCAGACTCAAGCAAAAGGCAGCAGCGTTGGGAGTGCATCTTGAGAACTAGAAAAGTTAAGAAGTTGAAGATGTTTCAATTTGGAGATGTCTTCAACAAATCCTCAAGTCGAGTCATTGAATGTCATTGAAAAATCACTACCACAAGTGGTCTAAGTGGTTGTGATTGATGTAGCAATGTAGTAAGTGCTCTACATTTGGACAAGTCTTGCCATCTTGTAATGAATCCACTGATCAAACACACAGCTTCAGAAGAACGAGCTCTGTTGTAGGTTTGCTCTCTCTCTCTTCCAAGGTCGTGCGTCATCATCTTCAATGGGTGATCCAAAGGACAAAGGACCATCAATTATCAACGAACTTTACGGGTTTTACGAAATGGTTTTACGAAATAGATCGAAATAGTAGTTGGGAAAGGGTTTCACGAAAGGGTTTCACGAAAGGGTTTCACGAAAGGGTTTTACATGGGTTTTACGAATTTCACGAACTTTCTGGAATGCCGGCTGCCGGGTGCCGGGTGCCGGGTGCCGGGTGCCGAGTGCCGGGTGCCGGGTGCCGGGTGCCGGGTGCAGTGTTCCTTTTGTACTTAGTGATTTAATTCGATTTCAGTTGTTTGGTCTAAAGGTTTTGGACATGTTCTTGCAAAAAGATTGGAAGGAATGGAGTGATTGAAACAAAAATATCTAGATCACTCAAAAGATGAACAGGCAGCCTTTTGGCTCCAAATTGTTGCAGGATCTGAGCAAAGCCGAGTTGGTGCTTCTGGAAGGTGCAGGGCTGCTCGCTTACCGTGGGTTGGGCACTGTGGGTTGACCTGTGGTGCATTGCGGTACCAATAGTATTGATGGATTTGAGCAGCTCTGTTGAGTTTAGCATTATGTCTTTGGCACTATTTGGAGGCCCAGGCATATCGCAGGAACATTTACAGTATATCACAGTTCTTCAAATCCTTCCGCATTGTAACATCACACCAGTTGAGCATCCATATCACTACTAAACTTATTAGAATAAAGAGTAGCTAATCAAACACTTCGCCTTCAGCAATGGCTGGTAATGCAAAGACCCGTCGGGTAAAATACTTGGATCAGCTGGTGCCAACATCCGGCAAAGAGCGCAGGGCAGCTTTGCAAAAACTCTATGAGAAGTCCAGAATCTTGCATATGCAAAATAAGCAATCTTGTTTGCTCGGGTTTCCGGCTTTCAAGCCTTCTTTTGAAAAATCCTGGAGTCAGGGAAACACCCAAACTTTGAAGGGAGTGCAATTTTGTTGGTTGCATTGTTTGTGTAAGGACGTGACAAAAAGCTAAAAAACAAAGAGTTACGACAACACCAGCAGCAGATTCTTGCTGAAGCTATTCCTGCAGGGGGTGGAGCTGGGCCTGCAGGGGGTGGAGCTGGGCCTTCTATGGCTTTGGTTTCTTCTGGGCCTACCAAGCAGGGGTTGAGCTTGGTTCACGAGGGCAAGTCTTGCCATTTGTGTTACAAAATGGAGGAGCAGTACGTTCATGAACTCTATGCTGTGCGTGGCTGGGCTCTGTTTTGTTCACATTTTGGCTTTTGAGATCAGTGCTGAAAAAACTTTTAGTGTGGGACACCTCTGCTTTCAACATCGAACCATTAGAACATCTCTGAGGTCAACAGGTGATGGATTTGGAGCGCCAGGTGAAAAGGAAGGACATCGAGATTGCATCTCTAAAGGAGAAACTTCCTAGAAACCTTAATGGCCTTAATGTTTGTGCTCGTAGGAAGCTCTTCTGACTGAATAAAAGTCAGGTGATGGCAAGCTTTTCAGGGGATCGAAAAAGTTGGTCCGCAAGTTCAGAGGGGTTTTCAGGGGTTGGAAAATGGCTGGCTCTTTAACTGTCCTGTCTGCCAGGTGCTGTTGCGACAAGACTTCGCACTGAGCTGGATTGGATGGAAAAAGTCATGAGTGGATGGAGGGTGGATGTTTAATAGCCTATTGCGAGCCGCTACCAGCATCAACCTTAGGACCCAAGTGTAATGTTATATCACTCGAATGCAAGGAAATAGCCTTATATATATAAGTACCAGCACCTTCAAAGGGGTCTCCTGGCTGGAAGCCCCAGCCCACTACGATCAGGGACCTCCAGCCAGGACACCCCTTCAAGGTCCAGGTACTATAATTAGGATATTATTATCCTTTTTCTGGGTATAGGAGATAAAATTTGGAAAAGGTTTGAAATGGTCCTAGATCGATGCATATACTTGCTGACCCAAAGGCCCCAAGATCACCCGTGGCTTCTAGCAAAGCAAACTCAGCACAACAAACTCTTCTTGTTACACGTGGTCTCTTTCTATGAAAAGATGTGAAAACCGAAAACCATTGTCACATTGAAACTCGATTGCATCAACTTTCTACACCTGGACCTCTAACTACATATGTCTTGCACACCAAAAATGCTCATTCAGTCTCGGTCGAAATCACCCCCGCCGTCAAGGATGGCAGGAACGCCGCCGCTCTTGGAGATGCTCGTGACCAGATCCTCCTGTGCGGAAGCGCGTCTCCACGGCCGTGCTCGTCGTGCCCAAAGGGATGTCAAACAAGGAAACCACTGGCTGGGAAGTCCAGCAAACCGGGGCGCTTGAAGAAGTCCGCATCTTTTCTGGACACGTGGATGAAATTGAGAACGTGTATCCACACGATTCCACATGGTTCCACATCTAAATATATCGACCAGGCCCCAACTCTACAAGTCACCGGACTCATGATTCTTCGGATTCATTCTTGGACCCTGAGCGCGCAGTGGGGACATGGAAGCCATCTGGACCTGTCATGTGTGCGCCGGACGCTCTGTGGCGGCGGTCGTTCCAGTCGTTGCGAGGCGGTGGGCGAGGCCTGAGAGTCAAAGAGTCCGTGAGTTTAGGGGTTCGTCTTACCGTCCGGAGCATGTTTTAGTATACGGATTTGGGATTGTACACTACAAAACCACGTCGGGCGTTTGTTGAAATGCTCTTGGAAGGTTGGGAAGGAGACAGGGCGTCTGCATGTCAGAGCGATGATCCGTGGAGTTCACACACTTCTTCCCAGTGGAGGAGCCCAAATGCCATTTAGGTGGAGTGGCATTATGTGACCAATTGAGTTGCTCCCTGCTGTTGGATTGCAAAGCTGGGGTCATTGATGCCTGTTCCAGTTCCATGTTTCTTGATATGACACCCATGGGTGGGCCAAGCAGCCAGACAAACATCACTCTGTTAAAAGAAATAAAACATCTCAATTCAAAGCTCGAGTTGCAAAAACACATCCAAATATATCCAAACTGCCCACTTGTGCTGTTTGTCAGACCAGGCGAGGTTCATGTCAAAGTTGAAGCTAGTTTATTATTTAAGACCTGCATCCTATGACCCGCATCCTATGAAAAAAGAGCACTCCTGGTTCCCAGTGTCTGACATCGTGTCTCTCCAAGCTAGGCAAAGAAAAGAAGGGCGGCTCAAGCTGCATTTCTAGAATCATCTTGAATCATCCCTAGTCTCCAACAGCTCCTCCCCCGTGGTCCACATCCACGACGTCCCCTCCTGCGCCAGTGGAGGTACCTCGCTGCGCCCGCAGAAGTTCAAGGCCTCTGGGCCGAGCATCCCCCGCTGCGCCGCGCCGCGCAGGACCTCTGCACGGCACAGAATGAGGGCGGCACCGGTGAGGGCGGCGGAGTTCCGGGGACGAGGACGATCTCGGGGGGTGCAGGACTCGAATCGAACAGAGTGAGAGCCTGGAGCGTTCTCCACTTTCTTCCAGGACCTTGCAGGGAGTGTCATCTGCATCATGTGGCTCATGGGGGTCAAAAGTGAGAAGATGAAGGTCCTCCGAGATCCTAACGTGAGGCCAAACCGGAAAGTCGGCGATGGCTTGAAGGAACACCGGCAAAAATTGGACACCACAGAGAGATGGCTGTTTTCAGTTCTAGAGTTTCTTTTTGATTCTTCTCAGGCGTTTCTAGAAGGAACACCAGGAACAGTTCTTTGAAGGAAAACAAGAGGGAACTTTGAATTGACAAAGGAAAGGACGTAAAATGGTGTGTGTATCACGTCGTTCCTGGCCTTTTTCCCCAGTCTGACCACAGCGCGTACCGAGCTGAGCTCCTACGTTCCGAAGGAAGCGCTGTGCCCCGGGCCGTTTGGAAAGGTGGAGGGTCACAGCGCCTTCGACCCAAAAAAACCATCAAAACCCTGTTGAAGTCTGTTGAAGCCTCTTGTCTGTCGTGCCTTTGATGGCATCTACAGTAATTTTTACAACTTGCTTCCAATTCTTGCAGAGGCGCAGGAATAAGGTCAACTACATAAAACAAAGCTTGATAGTTGGGAAGGAAGGATCTTTCACTTTGATCACTTTTGATTCTGATTCTCTGATGTTCCAAACCTGTATCAGAAAACACCAGCTAAACACCTGTATCCGAAAGACGAAGGCCCTGGATTCCCAAAAAAAGAAAAACGAACACAATGGAGCCGCCCGCGTTCACGCACGGCGCGCGCCTTCGCGCACGGCGCGAAAACAGGCAGGGATGGTGTTCGTATGTGTTCGTGCTTGAAAGAAGACACCCTTACCGCCCTTACGGCAACCCTTTCCAGCCGTGGCCGTGAAAACGGCGGTCCAAGAGGCTGCGCTCAAACAGGCCACGCCCAAGGTGAGCACGTCCACCTCCGCCTGCTGCCGCCTCGCGTCGGAGCGGAAGCGACGTGCCGTGGCGGGAGCGCCGCGCGCGACCGCGGCGCGCGGAGTCCGCGGTTGGGTTCGACCGGAGGAGGAAAAAGGCGCCGGTTCTAGAAGTGAGTGAGGGTCAAAACGGTTCGAAGAGCATGTATATACAGCAGCAAATCGAAGGCTAAAAGGCTTGGTGTTCAGAGATGATGCTGTAATTTTAGGACATGTGCATAACATTGCATGACGACACATTTAGGAAACTGGACAAGTCACTTGGCCATCCATGCCGAAGGCTAATAGTAAGATGGGCTCTGGTCCCATGACATTGCCCTGCATGGGAAACAGGTACCAGATATGCGGTGTACTTGGTTGTACACTTGGGGGATATCCCCTCCCATAAACCAACCAACCACTGGTCAAAGGCCATTGCTCGACCTTGACCGGAGGTCCTAGCTCTCACAGAAGGAGGCACCGACTCTTCTCTTTCGGCCAAAGGGCATCACATCAACAACGGATTCAATCAGGCCCTGCTGCAGGGCACGATCCTCGGTGCTGTGATGTGCTTTGGCAGCGCCATTCAGGCACGAGGAGTGCGGAACGTCAAACGGATGGTGGAAGGATTCCAGGACAGAGCATGGGAGCGGATGTTTTCTCATGAAGAAAAGTTTTACAGTATATAGACCTATGCAAGTGAACTTAGTTGTGCAGCTGCAAACTCATTGCACAAGCAACCTTGCAGAAAAGAATCAGGGTGTCTCATAGCTTACGACCTTGGGTCTCGGAGCATACGATGTCCAGACTTCACAACATCCTGTACCAAGACTTTTCACACCCCCACACAGGTATTCTCTGAGCAGTTTTTGTTGAAGACAATATAGAAGAACCATTTAGATCATGCGCCCCCCCCATGTCGTTTTTGCTTTTCGCATGTGGAGGGACTGGTCGAAGGGGCCTTGGGATGGGTAGGTGGACTGGCTCTTTGCACCAGGTACTTCCTAGTGTAGTGGCCGGTACTTTGTGGGAGGGTCCGTTTTTCAGGAGACACCCTCATTGGAACCCTGCAGCCACTTGCAGGTGGGACTATCAAATCTCTTGAGATATCTGAGGCACCCTACAAGCTAAGTATATAAATGCCATGGAGTATCGTGGACTATTCCAGGCACCAACTCCCTGAAGCAAAAGTATGCATCAAAGATTCATGAAGGACGACATGTGCTTCCAGGAAAGCTTTCAGGAGCCTGGCAATCAGGTCACGCAGGCACCCGACGTGCGCTCGGTCTTGAAACAGGCCTTGGAGAACAAATCTCTTATCTCATCATATCTCCCACCAAAAAAGCCATGAACAAGCTTGAGGGAGAGTTCACAAAATCCAGAGAAAGAAGGATGGTGAGTGTCTCAAGTACCTCACTCAAGCATGTACACTCTGACAACACATTACGAAGTGCATGGCATGGACCCAATTAACGACTTTCCCTCTACAAATAGGTGTTTTTCCACTCCCATGTTCGGAGTTGGAGGGTACTTCAATTCAGGGAAATAATAAACAAATATACAAATATTTATATAACCTATCAGGTCAAAACTTGTCCGTCCAGGTGCAAATGAAGCTCCGGCTACTGGGAGACAGGTACCCGCACCTGTGAACGGTGCCGGTTGTGGGAGAAGTGCCTGTCAAGCCAAGTAAAGTTTCCTCCATTTGAGTCCTGGGCATTGTAACCCCCGAACAAAAAGGGATCCAAAGATATTCTAAATTCTTCAAGCCACCTGGTTTCAGCCTGAAACCAACGAAATGCAATCGAAATGTGGGTTATTCGCCTTCAATATGCGAAAACATGTCTTCGACATGATCTCTTTTTGATGATGCCCGCAACAAAACTTCATGTGATGCCATCGCATGGAGAACCACCTCAGCAAAATCCCTGTAGGCACCCACCCGGCGTCCTGGAGAGCTTCAGTCAAGACACCCACCCCATCCCACCCCCAAACCGCCGCGGACGAAGAAAGAGAAAGGGAAAAGAGGTGCATTGAAAAGAGAAACCCGAAATGTCCTGAAACAATGAAACGAGGTGGAAACAACAGCGAAATGAACTTCCTTTCAAGAGCCAACAACGGGGTTCCGAAACCACCACGGGCGAAAGGAGTGGCACCACGGTTTCCAGCCCGAAGTGGACGAGCGGTTCGTCTCGACACGCGGCGCCTCAGCGAGCGCAGCACCAAGGGTTGTTCACCACCCTGGAGGCACTTCAGCACCGTGATGAGCTCATGGACCTGAGAACACCGGGACCTGGACATGATCGGATGTCTGGAAGACCGAACGGAAGACGGAATCGACAGGAACCGCCCAGGGTGGCAAACGCCCTCACCCACACATCCCACACGCACACCGCCCCCAAAAAACGGGCGATTGCTGGCCCACCGGGGCGCATCATCTGTCTGCAACTGGTCCAAGTGATTCTGCAGCAGTTGAACGCTGAAGCGAAACCGTCGCTGCTCCAAGGCCTCCCAAATCGCTGGAGACTCGACCTGCACCTGCTTTATCTGTCCATGGATCCATGTGTCCGGCATCATGCATCCTTCGGAAGGAGGTCCACTTCAGATGATTTCAGTGTGATCTTGAGTGAACAAAGCAAAATTCGATTCAGAATCTGAAAAGTGCAGAGAGAAAAACCGGCAAAAGCCGAATGTCCTTGTGAACCAGAATTGCCGGTGTATGTAGTCTTCAGACCTGCGGATATTTTGATAGAGAGTCTTAGAGAGTCTTGAAAGAAACACCATGGTTGGTGGGTTTCTTTTGACATGGTAGCACTTGTTTCCCCAAACATGCAAGTTTTTTTCCCAGTATTTGTTTGGTTGTAACCGCTGGCCGAGTTGTTGCAGAGAAGATAGGGGGACTTGCAACAAATTTCATCATCTTCTCCTCTGTCAGTCACTATAGAGAGTTTGGGGACCTTTGGGGACCCACCCACCGGAACGATCATAGACCTTCCAAGAAGGAAAACCAGCACAACCAGTCAGACAGTCACACCCACATGCCATGAGCCCCACCCAGCCTTGTGACTCTCCCCATCCTCCACACGGTTCGGTCCAGTGCATTCCCTGGTTGGTCATGTAGAATCTGGATGATATTTCAACCTATTTCAAGCTATTTCAAGCCTGAAGAGCCACTTTACCATCCAAAAATTCTGGCCAGAGAATTCTGGGGGAGAAGTATTCATCTTTCATCTCCCTTCATCTCCCTTGACCTGGCGTCCCTCTTGGACCTCATGTCCCTCTTGACCTCGCGCCCGTGGACGCTGCGCCCGGCCTCGGGGCTCAAACGGAGCTGCTTCACCGTGCCGCTGGGGAGACCTCCGGCGCCTCCGGCCGCGACGCCCTTGGCCTTTCCTCGGCAGTGAAGTAGAAACACACGGCAGCTGCCGCAAACAGGCTGACGCAAACAGCGAGCTGCTGAAGCAAAGCAGCTGCTTTTCAGGCAGATCTTCTGGAAAACGGTGGCAGCGAAATTTCCAGTTCCACACATCATTGGGGGGCCGAACTTGGAGGGTAGGGAGGTGCCCAGCTGCTTCACTTAGGGATGGAACTCTTGATATGTATTGGTACTGCGGCACCCATGGATGCACTCTCCAACGAGTCCGACAAAAAAGTGGATCACCAGCGGATCTGAAAATGTTGCCTTCCCCCCCAAAAAAAACAGCAAGACACTACGAATTCTGAGTCTAACAGAATCTACAACATGGAACAAATATTAAATATGACAAAAACATACAGTGAAACAGAACAAAAGAAAAGGAAAACAAAAAACAACACGTTCCCCTCCCCCCCAACCACCCCCTCTCTCCAGATCTCCATCTCGTGCATCCCAAGGTGCTCAGGATGCCCTTCACCGGCGCCAGGATCCGGTGCTTGGGGTCGCCACCTGGCGGGCCAGGAAGTTGAAGAAGAAAAAGTTTGGACATGGGAAGTAGATGGAAATGGGAAGTTAAAACTAGCTATATACTATACGAAGGTTGTTTACTATAGTTAATTATAGTTCTTAATTATGTGTGTCTTTTGGACGGGTGCATGTTGTTTTTTTGATGCACGCACTGTACGCATGGTTGGTGACAAAGAACGCTCAGCGTCTCATGGAAGATAGGGGGTGCCCAGAACATCCACTCACTGGATGGGCCGGCCGACGTTTGGAACTCCTGGATAAAAAACATTTCTTATTATTGATTAGTTATGTTTTTTTTCCAAACTACAGCAGTTTCGAACAAAACACATGATATGTTAGGAGCAAGGAGCTTTAAATCAACAGATTTAGATCAACTATTGAACTGGGTCTGTATTAAGTTCGGGAGACCTTCCACAGACTCGCTGAAAGAAGGACAATAGACTAAAACCCATTGGTTTCGCGTTTCCCTATTGACATACACACCCAACGATGATCAAAATCAGATCTCTCTGGTGGTCACCAGCACTGGGAGACTGGAGACTGATCAGATCGCTGGACAAGCGCGGCTTGCGCAGCGCTGGAACTTGCGCCCGGTAAGGTCCTTATGGTGGATAACATACCTGGATCTTCAAACGGCACAAGTTTTTGCCGGAGGCATTTTTTAGTGAAAAGACGCCGTAATCAAAAAAAATGCCGTTTTATGGGTTGTACAAAATCCATGGATGGGGAAAGACGCCGTTTGGACGCCCAAAGACGCCGTTTGGATGCTTAAAGACGCCGTTTCTTTTTGCTTTCTGCCGGCGTGCGCCTCGTCACAACAAAAAACGCCGTCTTTGGAAAAAGACGCCGTAACGGCATTTTTTCCTGAAACGGCAATTATTTGTGCCGTTTCGAAGATCCAGGACCAACATGGAATATATGAATCAATCAATCTGATCAAATATGATCAACTTCGGAAATGTCTTGGTTGCAGCTAATTGCCCTTGGCCAATCCATGTACCACGTCTCCCAGCTCACTAGCTCGCCTTGAAGCAGTTCTTGATTCACGTCCTCGGAGATCAACCTCGGCCGTCACGCAGCTGCCGTCACAGCAGGTTGGCCTTTCCGACCGGCGGCCGGGTGCACACCTGACTGGCTGAGGTTTACCGCGCAAGAACATCCCAAGTGCGAAGAACAATTCCTTAAAACATGATATACATTGATTGATATCCTTTTTAATATCCTCATCCCCTTCCCATCCGGACATTCCCTCTGCATCCATCACATGCGCACAAGCTGCTGTAGCTGGCAACCGCCCTCGCGTGCAGCCAAAGGATCGCGCGTTTGCGCGGCCCCGCGTGCCAGAATCGCCAGCGCGCTGTCCAGGTTGATGTCCCCTCACGTCAGTGGCTGGCAAAGGAATTGTATCGTTCGTTAGTTTATTCTTCCGAGCGGTTCCCGGGAAAAAGGAAAGTTTAACCTTTTTGCATCCAGTAGGCCAGTAGGATTTGAGTGAAGCGTCGTCAATCCCAAAATGGTGAAAGCAGGTGGTCTGACAAATGCTCTCCTGGCCTTAAGGTCGTTCCTTTGTTAAGGTCAGGCTTCAGTCCTTTCACCCAACTTCTAGGCATGTGCTTGGTTCTCTTCGCTGTGAGGCGTCTTTTATGCGCCCATTGTAATACCTCTTGTGATGCTAGTCAAGCTTAATAAAATACCTAGCACTTCTAGCACCACCAGGCTCTGCCTTGCAACAAGAAAGAAAATGCATATGCTGAGATTGCCAAGTTTCTTGCTGGTGCCAATCTATTGCTTTGCTGCACAGCAAAGCCTTCCTTATAGATGCCTGAAACTTGGGCCCTCCTTCCTCTTCCACCTCCTCTTCCACCTCCTCTTCCACCTCCTCTTCCACCTGCTCACTTGATGTTCAACATCGAATGTTCCATTTCCTCCAATGTTCCTTCCTTCTTTGCCCGTCCGGCCGTCCGCCTTTCGGACCGATGCGGGTGTTCCCCCCACCGAGCGGCGCATGGAGTTGGTGCGCTCCAGGCGTTGCGGCACCAGCCCGGCGCGCTCGAAGTCGCTCCGGTCCAGCCTCGGTGCTGCTGGAAGATGTTGGAAGGAACGGATGAAAAGGAAAGGCCAGCACAAGATCTGTGGAAGACTTGATCTTTTTTCCGGCTGATTCTCTTCTATAGGATGTGTATCTGTATGCGTGTGGGATTGGATGTCTTAAGAAATTGGGTCGCTGCAGGCAATCGGAGTTGCAAAACTCCTCCACCAGCCCGCCAACAGGCCCGGACAGGGAATTGTTCGGCCTGTGTGGGCTCATTGGAATCTTTGCGTGAATCTTAGAGCATGTCATCATGAACATGTTTAATGTTCATGTAAATCCAAAAAACCTTCACCAATCTTGCAGTATTGCCCATCTTGCCCAAGCCGATCGATGTCAGGCTTCGGACAGAAAACGGTTAATCCCAATTTGTGAAAGAGCTGTTTTCTTCCGCTGCGCAAGAAAGAAACCGCTGGCGTCTCCAGATCAAGTCTCAGTCACGCCAAGATGATGTTGAAAATTCACCCCCCCCGTTTGAGGCCATCGCTCGTAGCTCCGCTGGTCGTGGCAAGTTACTCGGCCGCGTCTCCAGGTTCTCACCGGTTCTCGTCAATCGTCTCCTTCATCTGGCCCTGGAGAGCCTTTCCAGAGCAGCGGTGGGTCGTCGTTCAAAGAAGTGTCAAGCCTCGGGCACAAAGCCTTTGCCGCGGGGCCATGCTTAGCCCCAGTCGTCGTTTCCAAAGCGCTGCCACTGTTCCAGCCTTCAACACGCCTCAACGCCCTACAAAGAAGCTTGCACGTTCGCAGAACACACCAAGGGGAGAGTGCAATTCGTGATCAAATCGTTCTCTGCCGTTCTGTCATGCGGGCAGCTTCCTTACTGGCCATCTCCAAAGCGCTGGCTCCACGGACTGCTGTTCACACAAGAACTCTGAGGGGCAGTCGTCAAAGAAGATGGAGTCTCGTCTGCACACATCCGGCAAAGAAAGGCTCCCAAACAGTCCTCTGATCAAGATGGACAAACATCACTCACATCACTCAAACTTGATGGGAGTCCCCACCTCGAAAGCAACACAAACAAACAAACAAACCGTTGGAGTCTCAATCCGTGTCTTCTTCAATCCACGGACCGACAAAGACATCTTTATCTTGTTCTTCTCGCGCAGATCGCATCGCATCTCTGACCGGACCAGAAATCCCTCGCCGGTCCTTCACCACTTCATCTCATGTGCCACAAAGTCCCGCTCTAGATTGGCGTGGATCCTTGGAGCTCCGCCACGGCCCGGCTGAGCAGGGAGCGCCAACAGCACGAGCCCCACATTGGGAGGGAGCCCCATGCTCGGTTCCCTGTGAAAGAGGTGGCATTGGAGTTCAGAGGGGTTCAATTTTGATGTTCAAGGAAAAAAGGTCAATCTTTTGTCCAAGTGAGAGGAAACAACACAGCATCTCACCGTGGATCCTTGAAACCCATACCCGGTACCCCCAAAAAGATGTCCAGTCAGCAAAAAGAGCGGGCAAAAAGCTTGGTCTTTCATGAAAGCACTCATCCTCCTTCGAAACCATTCAGGTCCAATCATGTCCTTTGATGTCCAGTCCTGAAAGTTCTGGACATGGTCTTTTCAAGGCGACCGTTGTCACCAGCTGGATGCATTCAAGATCATTCGAACATTTGCAATCTAGGTGACTTTCGCTGTGGAATGAACAACATCAGAGATCATCAGAGTGAATTTTTCGAGTGAACAGTGCAGCCATAGCGTCACGCAGACTGCCCCCTTGTTCTCAAAGCGCCCTCCGTAGCTGGCGGCGCTAAAGACGGAGATCCACTCGTAAGCGCCGACGCTGAGGCGCTCGTAGCCCTCCAGGGAGACGCGCTGAGAGCAGATGAAGGTGTCCAGCCCGTTCTGAGCGAGAAAAGTCTGGAGAACCTCAGAAGCTACGACCAAAAGCGCTCTCTGCGGTGCTGAGCGGTTGGAGGCCAAACGTTTTGGGTGTGGATGGTTGACTTCGTGATTGTGTTGCGACTGGTGGCGTTCTCACCTCATGAAGTCAAACTGATGCGACTGGTTCGACAAGCATGGCTAGCTTGGTCTTGGATCATCTAGCCGTTCATCAGGTGAATCATCTACGGGTAGAATCGGGTAGAACCAAGGACAGCCAACGATCATCTAGTACTAGTTGAATCGTCATTTAGTGAATCAGGTGTCCGCTCGTAGGTGGTTGAGGATGACCCACCTCAAATCGAGTGTGTACTTTTCTTACCTTGAAAGCATCAACGGAGAATGGTAGCAGCCATGTTGATCGTGTGTTGGGATCTACTGACCAGTGCTGACCCATTGAAGCCGTCTGTCTCACTGAGGTGAGCCTGACGGCCCTGACGGCGTCCCATGGGAATTCAAAATTTCCCCGATCGCACAATTCATGGGACCAGCTCGGAAAGGTGGACTCACCTCAAAAGGTGGTTTCTTCAAGTCTGGGTGGGCGGGAAAGCGACTCCCGAAAGCATTCTCGCGGAGCGGACTTCTTTGGACAAGACGTTCGTATCCCAAAGGCCCCAGTTGGATCCAGGTAGGAAAGATTCCAAATTGCTGCAGCTTAGAGTCGCAGTATACATTCTTCCCCAGACGACAGGATTGGTCATTGCATGGTAGCTCTAGAATTTAGAGCCAGAACTTCCCACCCGACCCAGTTCTCCTACCAGTGTGCCTGGGTGGTTGGCGATAGGTCGAAGTACATTTGAGTGGTGGCGATAGGTGGTCTCCTACCTACCTGCGTTGGGTAGTTGATGTCGCCGATCCATGGCTCTCTCAGGTTTGACACGTGCTGAAACCAACACGACTCGGTTCATGCGGTGAGCTGCGATTCTTTTGGATGAAAAATGCAAGCTGTTTCGATAGAAAACAAACAATCGGCATGGGCCGCACTGTCTCGACTGTGGCCTTTTTGCCCAACCGAACAAAGGGAATTTGGGGCGTGTCGGGTAGTCCTTTGGACACCCATAAGAAAGTGTCTCTTCTTGGCCTTTCATTCAATTCTGCCTTTTGTTGTTCAGCCTCTATAGCTGGCGAATCACCATCCCGCTACTCCCAATATGCTTTCCCTGCTGGCAGAGTGCGTCGGAGCCAAATTCAGCTTGATCGCCCACCGCCTGCAAGCAGCAGAGCGAGAAATGCCAGCAGAAGTAGTTCGGTTGGCTCATGGACTGTGCCAACTGTGCCTTCTCTTGGACCTGTTGTCACTCTCCTTCAGCTTTTGTGGAACATTGAAGGTTAACTACCAAGCTTTCCACCTGTTGACATATCCCTGTCTCCTCATGGTGAGGAGAACATCGCAGACACGCTGGTCGTACGACGTAAAAAACCCTAAAGAAACTAATTAGAGAGTGAAACCGAACGGCCTCAAGCACAACACAAGGACAAGGGAAAAGCCCAAGTAGAAAGGCTCTGGCAACAACCTTCCATCAAGATGTTCGCGAATCTTTCAAGCTCGGTGGAGGAAATGAGAGGACGTGCTCCAAAAATAGCGCCCTTGGGTAATGCTCGTCCACATTTGTAAGCCTCCGTGGAGCAATATAAGCCGGGGACAATCGTCTGACCCTGTTGGACTTGAGTGGGGCGTCCCCAATCCCATCAAGTTTGGGAAAAGGTGATCCACTTTTCCTGTGTGGGTCGTAGACCTCTAGGCTTTTTGGCACCGGCCTTGGAGAGGACAAGTTAACCTAGGGCATATCATCGCTTGATCTTCAAGTTGAGGGGATTTTCTACGTTGTTTCATGTTGCAAAGATTCACCAACACCTTGCGGTCATGATGCCGAAACAGTAACGGCCCGGCGGTGAAAGATCACGCGTCAAGCAACACGCAAGAGCAATCTTGAACAAGAAACATCAGCAGTTTCTGAGTTTGTGCCCCACGTGCAAACTCCAAACCAAACCCTGGATTTGCTTAATCAGGAAGACGGGAAAAAAGACATATTCCTCAGGTTTGGGGATTCACCCAAAGAGAAAATTGAAAATCACCTGAACTCAAAACCAGGAAGCCTAAGCTATTTACCCGTGGACAACCTGAGCCAACCAAATGCAGCTAATGGACGCACAAAGCCACCCAAGCCGCCATTTCAACGTTCCAAATCCAACGTACCACTTCAACCGTGCACTCCTACGAACACGACCCCAAACTGGAAAAAACCAAGACGTTTTTCTCCCAGCTTCCCCACCACCCGACCCGACCTCATCGACCTCATCCTTCCATCCTTCGATCATCGGGTTGAAGTTCGACCACAGCAAGTCACTCAACAGCGTTCCGGGCAGCACGTCCACCGGGCGTGACACGTCCAGCTGCTCCAGACGTTCCAAGCGCGGGGAGAGGCCTCTCCAGTGCACCGGAGGCAAAGCATATCACGACTCGAGCACAGGGCAGAATCCAGAGCCTAGGAGCCTTATATAGAACTCCTTGAAGAAAAAGAACAAAACTATACAAAACTCCTTGGAAATTGGAAACTTCCCAGGAACCTGCGACATCAGGTTGGTCAAAGGTGCCAGCAACCCTCCTTCCTAACAATAGCATCTTTGGCACCTGAGGAGACGCAGAAGATCCGCGCCCGTGCCAGACATGCACACAGGGGCATGCAGCGGAAGACCTCGATGAAGGCTTTCCTGCAGAAAAAGCGGCGTCCGATCGCCGCCGTTGATTTCTGCAGGAAGGTCAGGGACTTAAGGAACCTCCCTTCTGCAGTAGCTTGTGTCAGGGTCATCCGATGGAAAACATGGCCTGCCCGAAGAATCCTTCAGCCCCGGCCAGGGGTCGGACCTTCTCCATTTTTGCAGGGAAAATGGACCCGATACCTGCCACCCTTTCCATTGCTTCCGGCCCGGGGATCCTTAGAACGAACAATGCCTCACCATGTGTTTCTCGATATCAACCTCGCTGGGGTCCTGAACCCAGGGTGTTGGAAAGGGGTTCAGCACCGTCAACCCATGGGCGCCGGAAGTGTCGGAGGGAAACCGGTCAATCTTGTGGCGGACATGGGAACGTTGAGATGAGTAGTC